ATTTATCCGACGCTTCACCACAAACTGGATGCGCGCTGCAATGTATACAGTGATGAGTGTTGTGCAATGGCTCAGTCTTATCAAGTCCGCTACCAGTTTGATTGCGGCTGCCGTTTTCCTACTTATCGCCGGTTTGTTCTATGCGCTGGCGGGTCTCAAGAGCCAGGAATTCGTCGGCAGCAAGACTTTGGGCGGCCAAGGTCTTGCGCAGATGATTGTCTAAGACTGGTCTGAAACGTGATCTATGAAGCTAAGGTACGCCTTTCGCCTGTCATGCAGCTATTGTATATGTCGTCTTCAACATTCGTGCACTGCGCTCGAAAAGAGCCACATGTTGTTTTCATGCTAATCGATTCTGCTGCAGGTGACTGACATGGAATGGAAAAAGAGACGGCTAAAGAACCATCTCTGGGCTGAATGCGCCACGATTATGAATCGATTGTGCTGTTCTTGACGCTGCCGAGCAGGGTCTTGTACTCGTATAGCATACTGTTTTGAGAAATTGGGATTCCTACGGCTCGGGCTACTGAAGTTTCTGCTCATGTGCCTTTATTGATTTTCTTCTTTGTGTCGTATTTGCAGTCCTGTTTTTGCTTTTGAGACTTGCTCAAAAACTGTTACAATGAGTTTTAGATGAATCATGTAATATTTACCATCTCGCCCCAGCGAATACCCGATTAGCATCCTGGCGATGAATGAATGGATTTGTTTGCATAGAAATGTGCTGTAGGGGTTGAGAGCTAAAGATAAGCTTGTTCCAACGCGGGGAACAATAAAGGAACGAATGTTAAATGAAGTGATCTCCTATAGTAAACTAGTTACATTTACATGCAGGGATCCAGTTGTGCCCGAATGGTCGTGCATAGCTGACTCAGCACTGAAGTTATCCCCAGATAAGATAAGCACAACTCATTCAAGCGAAAACCCTCAAAATTCGACTCCGCCGAAACAATCGAAATCCCACACGCCGACGCCGAACCGCTACGCCAGACGACGTGCCCCCTCTCCTCCCCACCCATCCCCCCCGACCGTTTGCCGGACAATTTCCTACTCGTCGACAGACGTACTTCTATCGCAAAATGTCCTACGAAGAGCGCGCCAACGCGCACCCCAACCTGGGCGACGAGTCCGATGTGGAGGAGGAAGCGCTTGTCAACGACTACCGCGAGCAGGTCAACTTCGACGATGGCATGAGTGAGTTGGACAGAACGACATCCCTTGGAGGTGGTTCCCAGACGCAGGACCTCCAGGCACAGCTCGCTGCTGCTGCCACCCCGCTCGAGTACCAGGCTACTCTCGAGACCAAGTTCGCAAGCTACGACAACTACTGCAGCCTTTTCCACTACATCCTGAACTCTGAGGGTCCGGTTGAGCTCGAGGTTCCTTCTGTATGTACTCCTCCATCTGTCAGGTGCGACGGGCTGCGGCTGCGGCTGCAGCTGTATTTGATACATGCTTCGCTGCCTTGACTTGCAATTGTGTGCGGTTGAATCACCGCGGTTGATACACTGTGCTAACTAGCCCATCTTATTGTCAACAGTACTACTGGGCCTGGGATGTCATCGACGAGTTCATCTACCAGTTCGAATCCTTCTGCCGCTACCGCAACCGCGTCGCTCGCAGCGGCTCCAACGAGGAGGAGGCCCAGCTTCTCCGTGAGAACCCGAACACGTGGGGTTGCTACTCCGTGCTGAACGTCCTCTACTCCCTCATCCAAAGGTCCCAGATCAACGAGCAATTGGCTGCCATCAAGCGTGGTGAGGACCCCTTGGCGTTTGCCGGAGAGTATGGCTCCCGCCCTCTGTACAAGATGCTGGGATACTTCTCCATCATTGGACTCCTGCGTGTCCACTGTCTCTTGGGTGACTTCAGCCTTGCCCTCAAGACCCTCGACGACATCGAGATGAACAAGAAGGCCATGTTCGCCCGTGTCATGGCGGCCCACTTCACCACCTACTACTATGTCGGTTTCTCCTACATGATGATGCGTCGCTATGCCGATGCCATCCGCATGTTCAGCCACATCCTGGTCTACGTTTCCCGGACCAAGAACTTCCAGAAGGGTGGCAACAGCTACGATGCCATCGCCAAGAAGAACGACCAGATGTACGCTCTCATCGCCATCTGTGTCGCTCTCCACCCCACTCGCCTGGATGACACCATCCACTCCGCCCTGCGCGAGAAGTACGGCGAGCAGCTCAACCGCCTGCAGCATGGTGGCCCCGAGGCCCTTCCTCTGTTCGAGGAGCTCTTCCGTTCGGCCTGCCCCAAGTTCATCAGCCCCACTCCCCCCGACTTCGAGAACCCGGCCCTCAACGTCGACCCTGTTGACCACCACACCGCCATCTTCATGGATGAGGTTAAGAACACCCTGTACAACCCTACCATCCGCTCCTACCTGAAGCTCTACACCACCATGGACCTGAAGAAGCTGGCTGGCTTCCTGGAGGTCGAGCCCGAGAAGCTCCGCTCTTGGCTCCTCATCAACAAGCAGCGCAGCCGTCAGGTGCGCTGGGTAGAGGGCGGCCTTCTGGAGGGCGAGCCGGTCAACGCCAACGACCTCGACTACGCTCTGGAGAACGACCTCATCCACGTCAGCGAGACCAAGGCCGGACGCCGTCTCGTGGACTGGTACCTCAGGAACCTTGCTCGTGTCTACTAAGTTCGAGTACGCTACAGCGACCCCTTCTAGTGCCAAAACGCATATCCCCACGTCATTTGACTTGAGACATGCGTCCGGTCTGTAACTAGACTCCACGAAGGGGTACTCAATCTCAGCAAGGAACCACGAGAGACACACTGAAGTGCAAACAGAAAGAAGGGGGATGTGTGGTCCAGGAGATATCATCAGCTGGGAAGGGGGATCATTTGGGCAATCAAGTCCAAGTCGTGCTTTTTCGAACGGGTCATCAATTACCCTCTCACCTTTTGTGGGCCCGTTCACTTACTCACGTCTTCCCCCATCCCACCAACATCATGATTCTTTTTTTTTTATCTTATCTATTTATTTATTCTGTCCTCCGCTTCCCATATCTTGCTTCGATTGTCCATGCTTCTCATTACTCAGGGGGTTGGTCGCACAACCCTTTGACCATCCTGGTTATACGGGGTTGGAGTCGACAAAAAGAATTCTTCTTTTCCTTTTTTGTTTTTCATTTGAGGAAATGTTCCAAGGCGTATCCCATTATGCTTGTGTTTGGTTTTGCTTCCGGTTCGACACGGTCTGGTCTGTGTGCATCGAGCTGTTTGTGTCTTAGCTAGCAGAGGACAGACAGGGATGTAGAATCCGCATGATGAAATAGATGATGACTTAAGCAAATATTCTCCATTCAACCTCTAAGCAGATAGATAGAAAGAAGCAGCTGGGGGTATAGCATTACTCTATCTCATATTCTAGTATGATACACATATACAGTTAGGTTGGTTGGGTCCAGGAATAATAGACCTATCTAGCTAGGTCCTCATTCAATCCTGAACATCAAAACTAGTCCCGCACCCACAGTTACTCGTTGCGCGTGGGTTGTCCACAATCTTAAACTGACTTCCAATCAACTCCATCGTATAATCCACCGTACTGCCCGAAAGAAGCTCCAGCGATGGCTCATCCATGACTACTTTAGCTTCTCCGGCACCTGCTACCTCTGCCTCTCCCTCCTCAGGCTCGGCTGCGAAAACAGTGTCTTCCTCCGCGTCGATCTTGGATGCGGCCTCCAGGGACATCAGGTATTGGAATCCATGGCATCCACCGCTTGTGACGGTGATGCGGAGATGGTGGTAGGGGTTTTCTTCCTTGGTGATGGAGGGGGATGAGGAAGGGTCTGTGATTTCGCGGAGACGCTGTTGGAGATATGTTAGTTCATGATGTAACTGGATTACTCTAGCGACTTGAAGAGCCAAAAAGAAAAAGAAATGTTGTTATCCCTCCTCTGGGAAAGAGAAGGAAAAAAAAATTGAAAAACATACAACAGAAGGGATTCGCTGGTGGTCACCCACCCAACTACTAACCTCCCGGCGTGTGGCTTAAGTACGGCTGAGCGGACGGGAAGCCCTGTTTTCCACACCCTGTGGTCGTATGTACTTGTCTCATACTTGAGAGGGTTCATATCGTGGCTAACAGTAGGCTAGCTCCGGTGATCCGGCGCATTTGCTTCCAATGTGCTTGCATCTCCGTTTCAACCTCCGAACGCTACTCAAGCCGTACCATCGCCACATTTTCGCAATGCTCTTCGGAAGAGGTATAGTATATGCAAGCAGGGACAGAAGGGAAATATTGTTTCAACGTACCTCCGCGGCCCTCGGCGAGATACTAATCAACAAGTCCTTTCCCTCTTCATCAACTCTCGGGTTTTGTAGCACCTTGGTAGCTGATCGGATACTCGTGGTGGAAAAGGAAGAGCGTTGTCCGAAAGCGTCAAAGCGGAATACTGATCGCGGTGAGGATGTGCTCGCCCGGGGGCAAAGGAATCTAGGCCGGAGCGTGGATCGTTGGGAAACGGTATCGCAGAAAGATGCGGAGAAGCTCAATGTCGGCAACGTTGCCGGGGAAAGTGCAGAAACCGCGGTGCGAGGCGAATGAGAGCGAGAGAGCCGGCGGGCGGCTGTTGAGAGGATCGGACGGGACATGTTTGTCGTCATAGAGGAGAAAGTAGGTGTTAGGAAAGGCAAGTGAAGGAGGACTTTTGTTGAGGGAGAATAAAGACTGGATTGATAATATGATCGGAGGCTCGGAGCAGCCATCGAAAAGAAGGTATTATTGCCGTTAGTCAGAGGGTTCGGGATGACGCCATTGGTCGATCGGGGACCGGCAAGAAGTGGCAGAATTGAGATAATCGCGGGGAACTTCATTGGCTTTGCGTAACATTTCCATGACTGTACTTAGTCTAATTTTCTTCTCTGTTGTTGTCTATGATTGTATAGTAGACGAGGATTTTGGATATATTCATTCTATTTCCCTTTGACAGTACATAGTACTTCCGCCATACCAAGGGAGCATCTTAACCATGAGTTCTAAACATGCACATGAATCGAGCGTCAGCTCCCCGCTTTCCTACAAGACTGATAGCAATGCCTTCACCAAGGAATATGCAGAGTCTCTCGATGCACAAGATCCTTTGCGCGAATTCAGAAAGGAATTTATTATCCCTTCTAAAGTTGACTTGAAAAGGAAGACTTTGGCAATTGACAATAGCTGTACGTATCGTAGCGCTGCTATATTGTCTCAATTTCACTAATCAATTGCCCTCTCATCTAGCCACTGATGAGTCTGATCCCCGGTGTATATATCTCTGTGGAAACTCATTGGGAGTTCAACCTCGTAATGCCCGCAAGTACATTGACTACTATCTACGGACATGGGCTATCAAAGGCGTAACTGGACATTTTCTTCCGCACGAGGACCAATTGCTCCCACCATTTGTTGACGTCGATGACGCTGGCGCGAAGCTCATGGCGCCAATTGTGGGAGCCCTGGAAAGTGAAGTGGCAGTGATGGGCACACTGACGGCGAACTTACACTTCTTGATGGCGAGCTTCTACCGCCCGACCCAGGAGAGGTATAAAATTATCCTGGAAGGGAAGGCGTTCCCAAGTGACCATGTGGGTTCGAAGCCGATAATCATTTGAAAAGCAATTACCTAACCCAGTGAATCTAGTACGCCATCGAGTCACAGATTAGACACCATGATCTTCGCCCAGAGGATGCTATGGTCCTCATCGAGCCGGAAGACCGCTTGAAGCCGGTTCTGCGAACGGAGCAAATTCTCCGAGTTATTGATGAACATGCCTCAAGCACGGCGCTTGTGCTCCTTTCTGGTATTCAGTTCTACACAGGACAATACTTCGATATTGAAAAGATTACCGCGCATGCCCAATCTAAGGGAATTCTCGTTGGCTGGGACTGTGCGCATGCAGCTGGCAATGTCGACCTGCGCTTGCACGACTGGAATGTAGATTTTGCTGCGTGGTGTAATTACAAGTACCTCAACAGTGGTCCAGGTGGGATGGCAGCTTTGTTCGTGCATGAGAGACACGGCCGAGTTGAGATGGACAAGGTTGGCAGTGAGGAGGAGCCATTCCGTCCGCGCCTCTCGGGCTGGTGGGGAGGCGACAAGAAGACTCGCTTCCTTATGAACAACAGTAGGTTTTCTTGCTGCTAGCGTTCACTCGGCGACTAACTGAGAACCACAGATTTCGTACCGCAGACGGGTGCCGCGGGATTCCAGCTATCTAACCCTTCCGTTCTGGATATGAATGCGGTCGTTGCGTCGCTCGAGCTGTTCAATCGGACCTCGATGGCCGAGATTCGTCAAAAGTCTTTGAACGCCACTGGCTACTTGGAACATCTCCTTCTGAACTCTCCTGCAGACTTCCCTACTGGGAAACGACCTTTTTCCATCATCACGCCTTCGAACCCAGCAGAACGTGGTGCACAACTCAGTCTGCTGTTAGAACCGGGACTTTTGGATAGCGTCTTGGAGACACTAGAAGAGCACGGAGTTGTGGTCGACGAAAGGAAGCCCGACGTCATCCGAGTTGCACCGGCACCTTTGTACAATACGTACACGGAGGTGTGGGAGTTTTGCCAGATCTTCTTCGAAGCCTGTCAGAAGGCTTTGAAGTCACGAAAATAAGCAACGGACAGATAATTATATTGGGCTGCCAAATCTGGGCTGATATGTGTATATGTCATCTTGAATATATAATGTTATTTTTGTCTATCAGCTATGACACTGGACAGACATGGACCAATCTACATAATGCCTACTATATATGAATATGTTACTATCAGACTAAGGACTTGAAGCACCACATAACACTACCCCTCCTATATGATAAGCTATATGATGTCGATGACAACATCAGTACTAGTGCCAGCCCTACCATATCCAATTACCATGGCAGCTCCCTTCCAGATGACTATAGCTTCATATTTCTCAATTAACACAGCATCGAACATACACTCATCCCGAACGATCATCCCAATCAACCAAAAGCAAAGTAAGCGCGCTCCAACGGTTGCCGTTCCGACTCCCAAGCCAGCCAATCCGATCTCGTAGTCCTGTCGCAATGTAGTGTTAGCAATGAACAATAACCAACCAAGCGCACATTCCACGCGGCAACAAGCACAAGACATGGGCACCACATACGGCAAAAGTCCCATCGCATTAACCTTCCAAATACCCAAGCACAACAGCACCAGCTGCATAACGACATATATCGCCTTCACACCCAGAAGCTTCGCGCGCGTACCCTCTGTATCGAACTTGGCGAACACCGTGTTGGTATTAATCAGGCCCTGGATGGGGCCCTTGAACAGCATAAACACCATCATAATACTGAAGATCTGTAGACTGTTTCCGGACATGTACATCATGATCGCGTTCATTGGGATCTGCTTCGAGGGAGCGAGGGCAATTTCCCATGCTTTCTTGAGCTTCAGGGTATCGGTTTCGACGGGTTTGGACGGGGCGGAGGTGGCTGAGGACTGCTGGGCGCGGTTCTGGAGTGGATGTGAATGTCGCGTTAGTATGAGCTGGGTGCGAATAAGGGGATGGGTATAGTAATCGGCAAAGAAAACGTACGTTCTTGCCAGTTGATTTCCTGGAGAAGCCTGGAGGATCAGGGATACTGGTAGCCTCTTTGGATGGGCGTGGCATGGGGGTGTTCATTCTCACCACCCATTGCGGCGGCGGTGGAGGGGGTAGAGAAACCATGGTGGGACTGTGAGAGTCGAAAGAACTCTCAGTAGTTAGCTTCTCTGTGCCTGGGGAATATTGAGGGATAGAGAGGTCGAGGAAAGGATGATGCCGCAAGCCAGGCCGAGCTTGGAGATGAGGAGGGAGCGATTAGAGTGACGATGATCCGGCCGGAATCGATGGATGGATTTCTCCACCAGCGCGGAGTTGGCGGCCCCCGATCCACTCCTGATTCTCACGCTGCCTCTCCAAAGTTGTTCCAGTCGACGTCGTTTTGGAATTTCACATTCATCAAGGACAGAGAGAGGGAGATAATCTGGGGTTATATTAATTGAGATAGGTAAGTACACTGTCGCGCCCTCAAACAGAGACATTCCCCCCCCTGTGCCTTGAGGCTAACGAGTCTAGTCTGCCCCCCTCTCCGATGCAATTGAAGCTTCGGAGCAGCAGACCAACCAAGCCAACTAGTCTACCGATCGAGTGCCCCTTGAAGCTCTCCGACATCCGTGAACGATTATTTGACGATATCAAGACGAGGTCTTTTGTGATTATACGTGACAAAACAAACCGGATCAGAGGATTGGAGGATTGTGAACCTGCACCATGAGTTCCAGCGGGGGAGATGCGAAGTTGTTCGCCAGAGTGAGTACTTTGATGTGCATTGGCACTGCTCTCCTTCCTGCCGCTCAATCGGACCATCCATACATGACGTGCAAGAGCCCTTTGGGCGTGTGCTTATCTTCCCGCGCTTCCCCTCATGCCTGTTCCCCTTGTTCACATGAACCAGCGCTGGCTTTGTCTTTTCCTTCTGCGGGGGATCTTGTTCGCTATGCTCCTCATGCTGCTTCCTCCGAATCCCCTCCTCCTGGCTGGCCCCCAAATTCCTCCCTAGTCCGATCTACATCCTTACCTTATCATGTTCCTCAGCGTGGTTCCTTATACAGCGCAATATGGCTCACCATTCTCTCGTTCCAAACAGGGCAAAGTCGCCGAGTTGCGACAGGAGTTGAACAGTGGGGGGAAGAAGGACAAGAACCATTCGGCCAAGAAGATCGCGCTTAAGAAAATCGTCGCCAATATGACCATGAGCAATAATGATATGGTCGCTTTGTTCCCCGACGTGATCGGTTGTATGAACTTGCCCAGCCTGGAGATTAAGAAGATGTATGTCTCCGGGACGATATTGTATCGCGTCTTGTGTGGGGACTAATGATTTCTCTCACTACAGGTGCTTTCTGTTCCTCGTCAATTATTCGAGAGCGAAACCCGAGGTTGCGCTCAAGGCTTTGCCGTTCCTCATCGATGTGTGTGTTTTCCTTTACGTCTGGGGATGTGACAGCTAATCCGAATAATCCAGGATATGGAGGACTCCAACCCTCTCGTGCGTGCCCTGGCACTACGGACCATCTCCTACATCCATGTCCGCGAGTTTGTCGAAGCGACAGTGCAACCGGTCAAGCGACTGATGAGCGATATGGATCCATACGTGCGCAAGACCGCCGCTTTCTGCGTCGCGAAGCTCTACGAGCACGATAAGAAGATGGTCGAAGCGTCGGATCTGATTGATCGGCTAAACAGCATGCTCAAGGACGAGAACCCGACGGTGGTTTCTAGCGTCCTGGCCTCCTTGGTGGACATCTGGGGTCGCAGCGAATCGATCTCTCTGACTATTGACTACACCAGTGCCTCGAAGCTCGTTTCGATCTTACCAGACTGCTCTGAGTATGTGTCTATGCTTCTGTGTCCGATGCAGGTTACTGACATTGTGCAGATGGGGCCAGTCTTACATCCTCGAGGCTTTGATGTCCTATGTCCCTCAAGACTCCGCAGAATCCCTGTTGCTGGCAGAGCGAATAGCCCCCCGCCTCTCGCACTCCAACTCTGCCGTTGTCCTGACCTCTATCCGCGTTATCCTCTACCTCATGAACTACATTGCCGACGAAAGACATGTCACCTCCCTCGCAAAGAAGCTATCACCACCCCTTGTCACCCTTCTCTCCAAGCCACCAGAGGTACAGTATCTGGCTCTCCGAAACGCCATCCTTATCCTGCAGAAGAGGCCCGAGGTGCTCCGCAACGATATCCGCTGCTTCTTCTGTAACTACAACGATCCGATCTACGTCAAGGTCACCAAGCTGGAGTTGATCTTCATGCTGACCACCAAGGAGAACATTTCCGTGGTCCTTGCAGAACTCCGAGAGTACGTCCGTCCTCCCTTTCTCTAACCCTCACTACCAACACGTCCATAGGTATGCGACTGAGATCGACGTCCACTTCGTGCGCAAGGCAGTGCGTGCCATCGGAAAGCTCGCCATCAAGATCGAGTCCGCCGCAAAACAATGCATCGACACCCTGCTGGAACTGGTCAACGCGAAGATTCCCTACATCGTCCAGGAGGCGACGGTTGTGATCCGCAACATCTTCCGCAAGTACCCCAACCAATACGAGAACATCATCGGCAACGTAATTCAGAACATTGACGAGCTCGACGAACCCGAAGCCAAGGCCGCCATCATCTGGATCATCGGCCAGTACGCCGACCGCATCGAGAACTCCGACGGCCTTCTCCAGGACTATCTGGCCACCTTCCACGACGAGACTGTCGAAGTCCAACTTGCCCTCCTCACCGCCACCGTCAAGTTCTTCATCCAACGTCCCACCAAGGGCCAACAGCTCGTCCCCCAGGTCCTAAAATGGTGTACTGAAGAGACCGACGACCCGGACCTCCGCGACAGAGGCTACATGTACTGGCGTCTGCTATCCACCGACCCCAAGACCGCAAAGCAGATCGTCATGGGCGAAAAGCCCCCCATCAGCGCCGAAAGCGAAAAACTCGACTCCCGCACCCTCGAGGAACTCTGCCTCAACGTCGGCACTCTCGCCACCGTGTACCTGAAACCCGTCCAACAAGTCTTCCGCTCCGCGCGCACAAGACGCCTACAGTACAGCCCTGCCCTGCAGAAACCGAAGGAAGAACCCGGCACTGCCGTCTGGCAATTCCCCGCCCCGTCGCAATCCAACAGCCCCACCGCCGCCATGGCTGCCAGCGCATCTGCCCCCAGCGATATGAACGCAGCCGTCAGCGCTGCCGACAGCTACTTCAACAGTGTCGGCACCCAGCAAATGGCTGCACTGGACCTAGGCGGTCGCGAAGACGGTGGTGTTGGCGGTGGTGGCGCCCCCCAGACGCAGTATGTCGTTACTCAGAACCAGCAGCAGGTGTATCAGCCGCAGCTGGCGGGTGGAGCAGCCACGGGTGAGTTGTTGTTGCTGTAATTGTACTGGTGTAACATTCTGTGCTTCTATTATTCTTTCTTTTTACTTTCCTGCTAGATAGGTTCTTAATTCTTTTTGGAGCGGTTTATCAATTATTTCGCAGGCAGGGACTTGTGATGTATTCTGTTTTATTGTCCTTGATGCTTGGATATGTAGGTGAATATGCATTTGTTAGAGCATGAATAATAACATAAATCTTGGTATATAATACATAGCTAGCATGTCGAGCATAGGTATGATGAGAAAGGAGAATGACGGCATCCATATCGTGCTTCCAGAGCACAGCACATCATCTATCTATCCCATGATCATCATACGAAGCCAACAACATTCATGAAAACTCAACTAGTATAATGATAACAATTAATCCTCATCCAAGCGAGCCAACCCACCCCGACTGCGCTTAATCCGCTCATCCAGACTATCCTCCTGAAGCTGTTTATGCAGTCCAGACACAAAGCGACCCTTCTCCGAGCGATGCTTCTCGTCTTCTTCATGCTGCTTCGCTTCAATAGCACTGACTTCGGCAATGCGCTGTCGTCGAGCATCCTCCATCTCGCTCGCGTTCGCTTGCATCTCTGCTAGCTTGCGCTGCCGTTCTTCCTCTTGCTGCTTGCGCTTCTGCTCTGCCTCTTCAGCGTTGGGCTTGTCGCGGCTGTATGTATCTCTGTCTCGGGGACGGTAGTCTCTCTTGTCTTGTTGGTAGCGACTGGATCGCTCGCGGTCGCGGTCGCGGTCTCTGCGATCACGGTCCCTGTCCCGAGACTCTCTGTACCCATGGCTTTCTCTCCGATCGTCGCTGCGCCGTCTGTCAGAGTGATGGCGATCCGCAGGGGATCGATCTCGCCGGTCATATCGATCTTCACGATCACGATCACGATGCTCCCGATGTCTGCTTGAGCGGTGATAGTCTCGATCACTATCTCTTTCTCTCCTATGATCCCTCTCACTCCTCCTCTCCTTATCCCTATCATCACGATCACGATCATCTCTCCGCCTCCTCTCCGGCGACCTCGACCTATGCCTCCTTTCCCTCTCCCTCCTCCTCTCCCTATGCCCATCCCTATCCCTCTTCTCCCCCGCCCTCGAAGACCCTCCCCCCTTCCTAACCTCCTCCCTAACCATCCCCTCCAACGCCGCCTGCTCCCTCTTCCTAATCTCCAAAAGCGGATCAGCCAATACCTTAGCCATCGTATCCCTCGAATTCACCACCGGCTGCTGCACTGCACTCCCACCACCAAGCGACGCATTAAACTCCGCCCCCTTCTTCAACCCCTCCGTCTCCCCGCCCTCCTTCTTCAACAAAATCCCATCAATCCGTCTCTTCCCCAACAGATACCCCTCCATTTCCTCCGCGTACATACCCCCAGCTGCCCCTCCGGACCCAGGCTCCTGATACATCCAGTCCACGCGCTGGATCTGCTTCGGTTTCCCCGTCCCTTCTTGTAACCGTTGGAGTTCTTGGATTTGTCGCTCTTCGTCGCGCTCGCGGCGGAGTTGGTCGATGCGTTTGCGCTCTTCCAGTGCGCGTTTTTCTTCCGCCCAGACGCGCTCTTGGTTGCGGAGGAGGGAGGGGTGCCATGATCTGTTTCATTTTTGAAATGTTGCGTTAGTGTTGAGGTTGGAACGGGGGGAGAGTTGGGGGAGAGAGAGGGAGTGCGTACTTCTTTAAATTGAGGTCGCCACCCATTTTGAGTGAGGGGGCTGGGTATCCAGCTGGTTGTTTCTTGGTGTTGTTGTTGTGTGGACTGGGGGTTGTAGGTGGATGGGGGAGGAAGTGGTAGGTGTGAGAGATGGTGATGGATGGAGGTGAATTCCCGATAGGGAAGTATTGTATTGCCACTCACTGCGGCTGTCTGACCTGCCGGTTTCTGCCTGAGGCATCACTATACAGGCTACGTTCGAACGGTGAGTATTTCTATGTTTATGGCAAAAGGACCTTACATAAATGTATTCGCACTATGCAGTAAACAAATGACAGATTAAGCACATATGGATAACATCAATAGGTACATACAACAAGAATGTTAGTTAACACATCACAGAGGCAATCGAGGTTTGTCCGCCTGCGGTCCATGTACCAGCGGCATTAGATATACCAGAATCAAATCATTTACTCGTCTCCGCTCGTCTCCACTCTTCACAGAACTTCAGATATTTCATACTGTACTTATTTCTCCCAGCCCACATAGCTACGCGGCATCACTCGCCACACCTTGCATTCGCCACTGCGGAGGTCGTTGAGCTTGAAGCTCTCCATCTTGACCTTTTTGCTTTCGCGGCCCTGCTCCCAAGCACGGATCTTCTTTTTGGTTCCGTCCCAGTCAACCACAATGGCCACGTGGTCGGGCTTGCCTACTTCCGCACTGTACTTCTGGTGCATCGTGCCGCGATGTCCCTGGAAGCGTGCGTTGCGGAAGCTGACGATATCACCGGCGCGGATCTCGTCGTTCTGCTGTACAGAAGCGTTGGCTAAATTGGAGTAGACCAAAGCGCCATAGGCACGTGTTCCAACCGGCTTGAGGGCATCCGACAAGGGACTGAGCACGTGCTGGACGAGGCCAAACGGAGTGCCGTCAGCAACGGTAGTGTTCTGAATGGAATTGGCCGTGGAGGCGATGCGAGTGCCAATCTGCAAATGTGCGTTCTCGAGTTGGTCCTGACGAGGCTGGATAGGAGGAGCCTCGTGGCGCTGCTCAAAGGCAACATCCGTGGGATTCCGAGCGTCGAAGTTGACCGTAATTACCGTTTGCGAGTGGTCAATAAAAAGAACGTAGATGTCTTTGGTCACCATGGTCTTGCCACCTCTCTTCGAGGAACTTGACTCCTCGAATTCAAGCAAGATGTCCTTGCGGTTTTGGAACACGGGAGGGGGAGTATTGTGCTGCGTCCACCAGAGCGTGTTCTCTGCCAGGTCTACGTCCATAGCGATGAAGCCTTGGTCGGCGGACGGACGACTGACATCCATGGACCGCCGCATGCTGGGCTGCGCTCTGGGGACATCAAGCGATGCACGGTTGCTACGCGGCGTGGGTGGGGGTAACGTGGGAGGCGGGGGTGCCATCGAGGTTCTCTTCTCCGACTGGGAGAATGTTGATTCGTGGTGTGATTGGACGGGCGAAGCTTCATAGAGCTCCTCCGATTCTTCCTCCGCAGGCTGGGAAGGGACAACAGGAGGTAGCTGCGGCGGTCCAGCGGGAACAGGTGGAGGTCCCCTTGGGGTAGGCAGTCCATGTTGCGGGGCATTGTAACGGTACGGATCATACTCTTCATCATCACCTCCAAAAGACAACTCTCGGTGGGGAGGAGGAGGAGGAGGGGGTCCGCGGGGGGAATCTATGGAGGCCCTGCCCGCACTCTTGGGAGGCTGAATTGGGGGCGGAGGAGGGACTGCCCTAGGGGCATTTGGGGGAGGCGGAGGCGGAAGACGAGTCTGTGGCGGGCTCCGAGGAGATTGAAGTGAATGGTCGTCGGTAGTCGTGCCCTCGTCGAAACTTGAATCACGTCCATGAGATTTCAGTGCGTCCTTAAACTTGGCCCCGGATGCAATGTCAGTGTCGTAGTCGCCGTCATACTCGGTGACCTCGCCCTCCACCTCTTCGCCCGCTTGGCGAGACTGTGAGGTCACACTGGTTCGACTGTCGGCAGTCGACCTCCGGCGAATATTAACGGGCGGCGGGGGAGGAGCTGCTCGACTCTGAGCCGGGGCGGGTGGATTGCCTGGAATAGGAGGTGGAGGGCGGCTAAGTCTCTTATCTGCAGGAAGTGTGGGCGATTTCGGAGAGGTGACATCGTATGTCGACGAGCGGCGAGAGTCTAGATGATCGGGGAGCGGAGGAGCAGGAACAGGTTGGCTTGGAGACTGATCGGCTGCCGCAGCGTTGAGGGAGAGATTCTTAGTATGCAAGGAGAGCTCATCGTCCGACTCTTCGCCCGTGTCAGCAGGAGCAACGCCCTTAGGGGTGGTTTGATCTATCCCAGGTCAGCATGTGTGGCAAAGGACACTGATACCATGGAGAACTTACGTCCGGGAACAGGGGGCGGAGACAGAGGCGCATCGTGAGGGACAGGAGGTGGAACTGGTCGTGTTTCGAGTGGCGGAGGGGGCGGAGCCGCGCGCTCTGTTTAGAGAATAGTTAGATGGTATGCTAGGATCATCAATGACATATGCTCTTACCTAAAGGCGCAGGTGGCCTGTCGGTGGATGTACGCCGAGGAGGCTCTTCCTCTACCACATCTTCGACATCAGGGACCTCATGCGGAGGATGCTGCTCTGTCACAGGGCTCGTCTGAGCTTCCTCCTCCTCCTTCTCCACGCTTGGTGTGGCAGCAGGCTTGGCGACGTTCATCCCCGGCAGAGCCATGATCGGCACTGGAGGGGCAGCAGCTGGGCCGGATCGTTCATACTCCCCGCTGGGTCTCTCGGCTTCCACGGGTGCCTTTGGCTTCCGAGGAGCTGCAGCCGGACGAGGCATGCCACCAGGAGGCCCAAAGAAGCCCATCATACCCATTCCACCGCTCATCTTGGCCATTCTTTCGCGGAGCTCCATCTTGCGCCTGACTTCGGGGTCTATCTCTTCTTCCTCCTCGCCTTCTTCTTCCTCCTCTGCACCTTCATCAACCTGAGCTTCACGTTCTTCGGCTTGCTCCAGCTGCCGAGATTCTGCTTGAGCTTCGTGCTGAACCTCCGCCCGGGCGCGCTCGTCATAGTCCTCCTTGCTCGTAGACGTCTCCTCCGCATCTTCAGTATCAGCGGCGGCTGAATCATCGGCATCGTTGGTATCGCTGACGAGTTCCCGCACTGGCGGAGGGGGCATAGCTGCTGGCGGGGCTGGCGGGTGAGTGGCTTTCACCGTCTCAACGCTGTGGTCTCTCTCAGGCTCGCCAGATGGGGCGCACTCGGTCGGCGGTTCTTCCACAGGCATCGCTTCTTCGTGAGACTCGGTGCGCTTCTTGGGGGGAGGGCGCTTGGGCTTGTCCTTCTTCTGAGCGGCTTCAGCGTGACGAGCAGCTTGCTCCATCTGCTGTTTCTGCAGGAGAGCAATCCGCTCCTTCAAGCTTGTCGGCTTGGGCTGCTCCTCCGCACCTTCCTCCGCGCCTCCACTGGACAGTGGCCGAGTCTCGGAAACGGGCGGCTCCTTCGCCAGACGTTCTTGGACCTCTGGATCCTCCTCCCTTCTGTAGATCTTGCGGGGAGCCTCACGGGGCGGGGGTACGTATGCATCTCTACTGGGAGGTGCCGCAACGAACGGCTTCTTGACGAAGGAAGTGGTTTGGCCGCCCAAACCACCCGGCTTGAAGGGTGCAATTGGGGGTGCGGCGGGTTTGTTGAAAGCAGCAATGCGATCCCTGAACGATGACCCTGTCGGCTTCTCCGCAACGGCGGGAGGTGGGGGCTTGGACGAGGGTTTCGGAGCCGGTTCGCTGATGTCATTTGCAGGGGGTTGAGGAACCGGGGCAGGAGCCGGGACAGGCGCTGGTTTCGGGGATGAGGGAAGCTCACGGGTTGGTGACGCCAACGCATGAGGCGGCGATTGAGGAGGTTGGGGCACAGGTGCAGGTGTATCCTCCACTTCGGGTTCCAGGGAGCGCGGGGGCTCAGTCGTAGGGGACTCGACAGCAACAGCGGGCTCTGGAGGAGGCGGCCCGGGAGCGACCTCTGGTTCCCTCTTCGGTCGGCTCGGGCGTGTAGGCCGCGGAGGAGCTGGGGGTTCATATCTTTCCACGAAGTTCTTGGGGAAAATACCCTCTCGCTTGTGCCCCGACTCGTCGGTATACTCACCAAAGTACCATTCCGCGTCTTCCACCGCCGTCACGGTTACAATCTGGCCGATGGCAAAATTTAGGTCGTCATCGTGGTCCGAAGCGTATTCGAAGACCGCTTTGACTGTGAACGGCGGACTGGACATCTGGCAAGTCGAGACGCTGTGACAGCGGACGTGGTGGTGGTGGGGGGTAGATTGGGGAGCGGAGCGAGAGGGAGGCTGGCGGAATGCAAATGACACGGCAGAACAATAATAATTGCAGGTAGTGGAGCACTAGACTGGAAAGCGTCTAATGCAGACAGACATGTGCAGTGCAGATATGCTTAACAGCGGGGTTTTGGAAGGTAAGCCGGTATGCTTCGGAGGGAGCAAAAATAACAATAATAATATGTCAGCCTGCTGGACTGACTGACGTAGTCAGAGAGCTTAGTACCTCCGGAGATCGGAAACACCGCAAGGGGGAGGGGGAGTGGAGGAGGATGGGGGTGAGAAGAAGTAAAGGAATAAGAATAACTTACTGCAGGGTAAAAGACAACAATGTCCAGAGAGACGGGAGAATATAGGAAATTAATGCACAAGGGAAGGAAGACAAAAGGAAGGAGTGGGATGGGGGGAGGTGGATGTGGTGTTGGAAAGGGAGGGAGGGAAGAGGGAGAGTGGAAGAGGAGGGACGGCGAGAGACAGAGAGAGAGAGACACTGAGCACAACGACTGCTACTACTGACAAGTACTACGACGACGACAACGACCACAGTACTAACTTAACACTTCACAACCCTTCTTGCCTGGCGGGACACTTGCTCCACTCCCGCAGCGATCGGCAGCTAATAAGATTGAACAGCCCGTCAGACACCAAAAGCCAACACAAAAACATACGATGGAACAGCTGCCTGAGGGCCGTGGAATTTAAACGCGGTGGTACATCA